CAGCAGCACTATCTAATCGAAATACACAGCCTCCCCTCTTCCCTAAGATTGCGTCAGAAGTCACGTCTTGTCTGCAAGTTCACCTGCAGTTCGTTGCCAATCGCCGCTGACTTTGGTGCAAAGAACAAAAAATAAATCACACTTTTCACTTTGCTTTGCTCTCTGCACTGCAGTCTGCAGCAGCAGCTGATCAGTGCGCAGGTGTGGACAGCAGAGCGCCACTGGACATGCGCTCCGAAGTGGCTGGCTTTGTTTTGATCGCCGGTTTCTACTTTTCTTTATTTTCTTTTTGGTAAATAGAAACCCCAAATGAGTAACATTTACATCCAGGAGCCGCCTACGGATGGAAAGGCAAGTGTGCTTAACTGATTTGGTTGTGTAGTTTTGAGTAAAACTTGTACCTCGTCATTTTAGGTTCTGTTGAAGACCACCGCCGGCGACATCGACATTGAGCTGTGGTCGAAGGAGGCACCGCTGGCCTGTCGGAACTTTGTTCAGCTCTGTCTGGAGGGCTACTACGACAATGTCATCTGGCACCGGCTGGTGAAGGGCTTCATCGTGCAGACGGGCGACCCGTCGGGCACCGGTCTGGGCGGGGAGTCCGTCTACGGGCGGCCCTTCAAGGATGAGTTCCACTCGCGACTGCGCTTCGTTCGGCGGGGACTGGTTGCGCTGGCCAACGGCGGCATGGCCGACGATAATGGCAGCCAGTTCTTCATCACCCTCGAGGGGACGCCGGAGCTGCAGAACAAGCACACCATCTTCGGCAAGGTGACCGGCAACACGCTCTACAACATCCTCCGACTAGGCGAGGGAGAGGTGGACCGCAATGAGCGACCCCTCTACCCGCACAAGATCCTCTCCACGGAAGTCCTCAGCAACCCCTTTTCGGACATTGTGCCGCGTGAGAAGCCCAAGAAGAGGGTGGAGAAGACGAAGGAGGAGAAGGCGCGCTCCAATGTGAAGGCGAGCAAGAACTTTGCCCTGCTCTCCTTTGGAGATGAAGCTGAAGAGGAGGAGGAGGAGATTAGCCGAGTGTCAACTGCGTTTCGTGGTAAAAGCAAGAGCAGTCATGACCTGCTAAAAAATGACGCCAAATTGAGCTCGGTGCCGGTCGTTGATGAGAGTGAACTGAACGAGAATGGACGAATTGAGGAAAGTACCGCAAAGTCTGATGATGATTACGATGGCGATGACAGTGAATCTGACACGAGAAACAAGAGAAGACTCAGCAAAGTTAAGGAAAAGCTAAATGGTAAGCTGGAGTTTAGTACTTTTCTGTGCTGTCCTAACTAAAAACCGTTCAATTGTAGCGAGAAAAAGGACATTACATCGAAATGACTCCAACAGTGACGACGAAGTGGAAGAATTCACTGACCTGATTGAGGAAGAACGAAACTTGAAGAAACATAAAGAGATGTAAGCAATCCTACCGATTTTTGGTTGTATAAGATTTTGACCACAACAATTTTTTTCATTCTAGTGAAAAGGCAAAAGATGAGTTCAGCAAAATCAAGAAGCAGATGCTGAAAGACTTGCGAAAGGACCAGAATGTAGCCAAAACGGTGGTGAAGGAGGAAAACAGCGCCGTGGCGGAGTTTGAAGAGGAGGCGAATAAGTTTAAAGAAATCAGCAAAAAGATTCCGAAGAAGGGACAGGGCCGGGAGGAGATGGTAAGATTTGTTGATTAGAGATTGATTGAACACAACTCTAACCACAATTGCTTCACACTTAACAGTGCTGGGAGATGCTTCAGAACTTCAAAAAACGGCTTCAAGGCAGCAAAAAGACTTTAGAAGGAGGTAGCAGTGACGACAAGGAACCAAAGGAGAAGGAGGAATCAACAGGAGCAGGCAGCAGTAGCAAAGCAGCTTGGCTGGCCCACAAAATGACCTGCACCGGAGAGGACGAGATTGTCCTCGCTCGCGATGCGAACATTCGCAACGAAGAGGACTGGTATGACATCTACGACCCGCGGAATCCTATCAACAAAAGACGGCGCGAAGGAGTGTAACAGAATCCGCTATCACCTCATCAGCATGTACATTTTGTCATCGAAATAAAAATCTTCATTTCTCTTTTTCGAAAAAAGCGCGTCACGCTATCTGCGGATGATGCCCCGATTTTGGCAGTTTATTTTTTTTTGCGCCAAGTGGTTTGTTGTTTTGTTGATTTCATTTTCGTAGCTGTCAACTTCCAACTCTACCAGAGCCAAGATGCCGCCGAAAAAGCGACAATCGGCAACCGACAAACTGGAGGAGACAGTTCACGGCATCTTCGTACTCTCCCAGCACCAGAAGAATGTCAAAAAATGCGTCAAAGATTTTATGAAGATTTTCAAAGAGATGGTAATGCCGACCAGAGATTTTCTGTTTAGTATTTTTGTTTCTAACATTCTGACATGATATCTACCACAGCACAACACGCCAAAGCTGGAGGACTTTACAAATGTGCTCCTCACGTCAATCAAGCAAGTTCTTATTTGTGATCGCAACTCGCCGTTTACCAAGAAAACGCTCGATTTTATTGCAACGTGCTTCAAGGAAATGATCGCCTATGAGGAGGAGTTTGAAGATGAACGAGCGCACCGAATTGCCGCAGAAGAGGTGCTCAATAATCAGCTACATGATGATTCAATGAACAGTACCCTGGACGATGACTTGGGCACAACGGCCTTTGATTTAGACCAAACCATTATCAACTCCAAATACCTGGCTCCAATTTCTACGGTGGATCTTTTGTTGAAGAATGAACTGGTCAAGTTTACCATTTGCAAAGACCTTAACATTCGCTACAATACTCTTTCGCTGTTAAAGAAGACACTGGAGTACTTTAACGAGATGGACGAGGAGACTTTTGACGTTTTGCGAACTGTAAGTCTAAATTCAGGCTTTTTTCCATGTTTGTATTTGAATTTTTACCACCTTCACTAGTGGGTCAACGACCGAACGTTTGACAAGGAGAAAACCATTCGAGCTCTGGCGTGCTTAGGCCTAGAGAAACTCCAAAACTCTGAAAAGAATGATGTAGTAATGAAGGGCCTGAAGTTTCACATGTTGCGTGATCCTGACGCTACGGTGCGAATCTGTGCCCTTAAAACCATCGAAGTCAACACGGACACTGTCAAAGGCATGTTCACTGCTACTCGCGACGAGTGTAATTCAATTCGAAAGTCAGGTGCGTTGTCATTTCTTGTTTGCGGTAAAATATCACCAATCACTAACTGTTTCTATTTCCTTCTTAGCCTACTCTAAAATTGCCCAACAATCTTCAATTGTAAATTTCACGCCGAAAGACCGTATCACTTTGATCATGAATGGCCTTAACGAGCGAGTGGACAACGTGAGGGAGGTGTTCTTGACCCAGCTAATTCCCAACTGGATTAAAGGCCTCGACAATGGCATAATCGGCTTTCTGGACAATCTCGACATCAAGCGGAACCTCCCACTTGCTCGGCAGTTCCTCACCACTTACTTTACCCACTTGAAGAAGACCGCCATTGGCAATGACATGTCACAGCTGCACCAAGTGGTGTTTGACTTTCAGGAGAAGAACCTGGACGAGCACAGGCTGTTCACCAAATGCCCTCTCACGGAGGAGAGTGCCTTCCTGTGGTTCAACTTGTGCGAGTTTTGTCAGAAGAGTAATATCACCTACAAAGTGGAAACCAAAGAAAGTAAGATTATTCTTATCATCTTATTTCTTCTCCTAACCATCAACCATTTAACAACTGCTTAGCCAACGCCGAAACCGGCGAAGAAGTCACTAACTGTGAGTTGTTTGATTTGGTCGACAAAATTCTTCCTGATGTTCCGATTTACACCATGTTTGTTGAAAAGTAAGTCTTTTTGTTGTGAATTTAGTGAATTCAATTGCTCACTTGGATTTCTTTTTCTTCCTTCCCTTTACAACAGACTTGCTCAAAAGACTAAAGAGGACGTGTGGCAAAGTGGAGAACGGGCGTCTGCACCACAGTTTATCTTTGAGCAGCTGCTTAAAATTGGAAAGCTGTACAAAGTCAAGGATGATGCTCAATGGTAACTTTTTCAGTGAAATCCTTTGAAAGCTAAAACCTTTTTCACTCTCACTTTACAGGAATAGCATTCTGACTACCTTCAAGCGTATCATCAAAGATGACGACTACTTTGACATCTTCGACAGCTACATCGAGCACATCATCAGCATTCTCGGCAACTACTTTGGAAACGATCACGAGCAGTTTCTGGATCTCATCTTCGACCTGATCAACGCCATCAACAGCCCTCACCTGGAGGTGGACGAGGAGGAGCTGAAGAGGAAGCTGGAGGAGCACGCCGCTCGCATTCATGATCTCGTCGCGGAGCGGAACAATGCAGTGCTGGCGGAGGACTCCACGGAGGAGGCGCGCATCAGTGCAGAGATTGAGAAGGTGGAGCAGTCGCAGCAGGACCTGATTGACTCGCAGAGCGCCCTCGACAGCCAGGTGAACATTCCGCCTCGCATGGAGACGGATGACAAGGTCTTTCTCCGCATCCTCCACATCTTCTACGGCTTCTTCCAGGCGGGAAAGCTCAAGAAGGACATTGACCGACTGCCGACGATGATCAACAAGTTGGTATGTGAAACCGCTTTGGGAAAGTGCTCTGCTAGTATCATTTCTTACTTTTCTCCTCCTCCTTTTTCAGATATTGCCTGGACTGCAGTCAAGTGACAGCAAGATTCGCACCCTTTGTGTCAAAAACCTGGGCCTCTACTGTTTGCCGTCGGTCAACTTGATAAACTTCTTTATCAAAGTGTTCATTGAGGTAATTGTGATCAGCACATTTACTGTAATGTTGTTTAAAATATCACACCTCTTTCACTCTCTAGATTGTCGACGGTGAACGGTTTGGAGAGACTCGAGTGGAGGCGCTGAAGTTCATATTTGACTTTCTATGCTACCACGGCTTTAAGAACATCAGTTTCAGCACCAACGACTTTAAGAACACTGATTTGCACAAGTCATCTACGTCGTCTGCCTCCTCTCAGATTGGCGATGACACGGACAATCTGCTGGACATTTGCGACAATAAGACATTTGCCTACGTTTTCTCCGAGCTGATAGAGAAGTTGCTCATGGAGGGGCCAGATTTGGAGGGCAGAGAGGAGCTGCAGAGAAGCGCAGAAGACCATGTAAAACTTCTGCTTTTCGACGTCGCCGCTAAGGGCACCTGCAAAATCATGAACTTAGGTAAGCCTTGTTGTCGGTTTGACTCTCTGTCTTTTACTAACTGTTTTTATGCCAACTCTCTTTTCAAAGGCCGTTTCTATTCCGACAAACTGCTGGCTCGCCTCATTGTCATTCACCTCACCTTTACCGATCTCGAGCCCGAGATGAGGCAGTTTATCGAAGGATTTCTACTGGATTACGCCAAAACCTTTCCCATGTGCTTGCGAAAGCAGTTTTCAGTGGAAAGCGCCTACGTGGATGCCTACGAGCCGAGCATTGAGGTGCTCATTGACGACTTTGCCGAGGAGAGGGACAGAGAAAAGTGGGCCGACAAGATGATCGACTTTTTCAACACTGCCGTCATGGGCGACCAACTGCCGAACTTGATGCTGAAAGCCGCCTCAATGTAAGTAGTGAACAGCCACACAAGTGGTTTCTAAGTTGCAGCAAGATTGACCGATCTTTACACGTGATTTAGAATCAACAACGAAGAGTTTAGGGACGTCTGGCCGGCCAATTTTAAGCTGATTGAAAAGGCCGACCTGAAGACCTTTGACTTGGCCCAGTTGGACGAACTCGAGGAACAACTGTTGATGTTTAAGGAGAAAAACGTCATTCCGGTTCAACCTAGACGGGGCCGTGGAGTTCGAAAGACGGGCAACAAAAACTTTGACTCTGCCCTGAAGCTGCTGGCCAGAATCAAGGATAGAAAGGCGCATCTGGAGAAGCTCCAGCAGCAGCAGCAACCACAGCGGCCACCGCAGCAGCAGCAAACAGTTGCAGAAGAGCCCGAAGAGCAAGAAGGAGAGGAGGAGGAGGAGGAAGACCACGAACCAACGGTCGCAGAGCCACCGCCAAATTCTGATGATGAGATGACTGACGACGACTCCAATATGTCGTCCTAACTGTACTTTTTTATTACAACTGTATGCGACAAGCCAAGCTTTTAATTTCTTACATTTTAAATACAAAAGTGTATTGTTCCTAAGATCACGTTCTCTTTGCCTTTTTATTTGACTTGTTGCCTTTATTTGCTCCTTTGTTGTTGCTGTTGTTGTTTGCCCTCTTTCGTTTGCCGGTGGAGAGCGCCGCCGCCGTCTGCACCACCTCCCCTCTGACCAGTTTCGGTGACTTAAAGGTCGTTCTGCTGCTGCCGCCGCTTTCAATGCTACTGTTGAGCTTATCAATGTCAAACAGTTTTTCAGCCAGTCGGTTGGCAGTNCACCTCCCCTCTGACCAGTTTCGGTGACTTGAAGGTCGTTCTGCTGCTGCTGCCGCCGCCGCCGCTGCTTTCAATGCTACTGTTGAGCTTATCAATGTCAAACAGTTTTTCAGCCAGTCGGTTGGCAGAGCTCGCCGTCTGCGCCTTGCTCTCCTTCTGCTCGATGGTGATCTTCACTTGGATCCGCTGTCTCCAGCTGCTGCTGCTGTCATATGCTGGAAAGTAGTCCTCTTTGGGCTTGGCAAGGACGATCAGCGATGCCTGGTTGGCAATGTCGTCTTGTCCTGTGCTGCTCCTGCTATCGTCTGTTGATTTTAACCGCCTCCTCATTATTTGCGCATACTCATGGTCAGCATAGTTGGTTAAGTAGAACTTGAATTTCGCCGGGAATGTCGTTGAGCTTTTCGGTGGCNACGATCAGCGATGCCTGGTTGGCAATGTCGTCTTGTCCTGTGCTGCTCCTCCTATCGTCTGTTGATTTTAACCGCCTCCTCATTATTTGCGCATACTCATGGTCAGCATAGTTGGTTAAGTAGAACTTGAATTTCGCCGGGAATGTCGTTGAGCTTTTCGGTGGCTGAGAGGGCGGCTGTTGTTTATTTTTTGGCTCATGCTTATCATCTTTGCCTTCGCTCGCTGGTTCAATGTCACCACCACTGCTGCTGCCACTGCTGGCCTTGATAGTCTCCGTTTGTGGTGAACGAAATACTGAAGTGACCACAAACTGGTAGAGATCATGAAGTGGTGATTCCGCCTGCTGGACGGCACATCGAAACGACACCATTGTCATTGATTTGATGTTGGAAAGTGTTCTCAGGGGGGACAGATCGAGATCAAGACAGAAGATGCGGTTGGCGATGCACAGCTTGTGAATGACATTGACCAGATTGCTCGCCAGAGAGCTGTCCAGCCAAACCATAGCCACCTGTTTTNAGCCTTTGCAGCGTTTAGCTTTTTGAGCTTCCACAACTCTTTCTTGCTCTTTTTAGTGCCTTCCTGTTGAACTGTAGATCCGGCATTAGTTGTTACAGCCTCTCTTGCCTTCTTTGCTGCCTCAAAGACAGCCGTTATTTTGGCCTCCAACTCTGCTCGAAGACGATCGCCAACAGTGACGCAGTATCGGCCATCGGCGCTGCTTGCACTCTGTAGAATGCGGAAAAACTTTTTCCTCTTTGCATTCAGCGCCTGTCCTTTGTTCAGCTTCTCCTTGGGCGTTGACATGATGGTGATAATAAATGATAATTGAGGGTGACAACCTGGTGGCGGGACTTTCTTTTGGACTGTAAACAAAACACAACAAAAAATTTTTTTGCACGTGCGCGGGCACTTCCACAGAGGACGTAGCGACATTTCGAACCGGTCGCTAGCTGGCCGGTCGTCACTTCTTCATCAGCCTCATCATCTTGTTGCCATGCGGTCTCCGGTTGATTGGGCAACTTGGCATTTCACATTTGTTTATATGTTTGACTTTCTATTGAGAGCTAGACTTTTTTCTCGGAAAAATGCTGATTGAAACTAGTTTTGAACGGCCAGATGAACCACAACAAGACGTATTAGAAATGCTAACCTCTTTCATCAACACGGGCGCTCTTTTGCAGAGCCATTACAACCAATACCACCACTGCGACAGACTCGTCCTTCAGACTTTGGTCACCGACCATTGCGTCCATCTGAAAGATCAAACAGTAATGGTGTTGGTGGTGGTGACAATCACGAAATGCACAGTGCACGACAGTGCAACGACAGATTGCTAGCTAGCCAAGAGCAGGGCCGGTGGTGATGGTGCTGAAGATGAGCCTCAACGTCATCAAGAGGAGAGCCTGTCACACCGGGCCTGGCAGAAAGCGTCGAGGAGATAGTGCCTAGAGATAGAGAAAGCAGACAGCAGGAGCAACAAAAAGGAAGAAAAGGGCCGCCAGCGTGCACAGTCTCTGCACAGTTACCGCGGCAGTGATCATCATCCTCCTCCTCATCATCATCGACGCTGAAATCACTAGACATAGCCAGAGCACTGTGTGTTGTGACGAGAAACACAGGTTGAATCTAGCCTGCACAAGTGCTCACAAGTGCCTTCTTCTGTGCACACCTCACAACTGCAGCAGCAGCAGCAGCAGCAACTGAGCAGCACTTCGACCACTGCCGCCGCCGCTGCTGTCTGTTGAGTGGGCACACCGCACACAGAGAGACACTTGTTGATGG